GCGCCCAGTGTGAGTTTAAGCCACCAGTTCCGGGACTCGAACCACAGTCAACTACATGGGAGGTCAGTGACATAGCCATTACGAGAGAATGGAGGAGAAGGGATTGTGGCATGGCCATCTCCCCTGGGGGGGGGGTGATTTATCACTTTCTATTTCTCTGTCTCTTTCTGGCAAGTGCACGCACCCTATAGCAAAAACCTCTCAAAAGAAAAAACAGCCTTGAAACCATACATTTCTACCTATGAATATTCCAACACCTAACTGCAGATTCAGAAAACTGCACAGCCTGAAGTCTAATCTTTAAGTCAAGTCCCTCATTTTAAAAGAGAGAAACGAAAACCAAAGAGGTTGTTACACAACTTACAAGACAGTAGCAATACTATGACTAAACCCAAAATCTCTCAGATACTGTCAAGTCTTCTACACATTACATAACATCTTGACATTTTTGAAAACTAATTTCTGAGTTGTAAAGTAGACTGAAGAGTAATGGAGTTTTCAAACAATAAATTGACCTTGTTGAATAAAATGCTTCAATTATTTCAATAATTTCTCCAAGCTCAAACTCAATAGCAGTCTTGAGATATGAACATTAAAAAGAACAAAGGAGGGCTAGCCAGTAGCAGGGCGGTTCAAGTGGCTGGATCCCACAAGGCTGTGTGGTTCGAATCCTGGAACTGGCAGCTTGAAAGACACACTAGGTGTATGGGCATGCATGCCCCAAATTTTAAAAGCAGAAATGGAGAAGGGATTATTACACGAGGCCATCCTCCATAGGGAGATGCTTTCTTACTTTTCTTTTCTCTTTTTCTCCTCCTCTCCTTCCCTATAGCAAATTTAAAAATAAAAAAGAACCTAAAGCCAGTCCTGTAGGACAGTGATTAAAGGAGCTCAATCATACAAGGCCAACAGTAGTTAGAGTCTCAGCCCTGGCAGCTTGGAGGACATGTGTATGCATACCCCAAATCCCAACAGGATGGAGAAACAGAGAAGAGACTGTAGCATGACTGTGCCTCGCTGAGGGGTGCTTTCTGCCTCTCTACCTGTCTCTCTCTCTGGTGAGTGCACATGCTCTATAACGATTTTTTCAAATGAGAATGAATTTAGCATTATTTTCTAATTCTTATCAATCTTTCATTTTCCTGGACTTGGGCTTTGGTACCTGTTCAGGCTATGAATCATTTTGCTTCTCTTTATTCCCCACCCCTCCCTAGACCTTAAGCTCGGATCTGAACCAACCATGATAAGTGAAGGCATTATAAGACAGGAACAGAAGAACTCAAGAGGTATCCAAGCCTTGAAAGCAGTGACAGTATTTTCAACTTCATTCTTAGGTTCTTCTTCAATAATATTGATTTAAAAAATCAATTACAGGGACCAGCAGTTGGTATAATGGCTACATCGCTGGACTCCCATGGAGTCAACTGCAGTTTGAGTCCTGGACCAAGTGGCTTAAACTCACGCCAGGCGATGTGCATGCACGCCCAAGATCCCAAGAGGAGAATGGAGAAGAAGGGATTGTGGTGCGGCCATCCCCCCTGGGGGGTGATTTCTTGCTGTCCCTCTGTCTCTCTCTGTCTTTCTGGCAAGCTCACACACCCTATAGCAAAAAAAGTCTCTCCAAAAAAAAAAAAAAAAATCAATTACGGAGACCAGCAAACGGTGTAATAGTTACATCGCTGGACTCCCATGTAGTCAATCGTGGTTCGAGAACCAAACCCATTAGCTTGAAACTCATGCTGGGCTTGTGTGACTGCATTGTGCATGCATGCCCAAAATCCTGAGAGGAGAATTGAGGAGAAGGGATACAGTGTGGCCAGCCCCCTGGGGGATGATTTCTTGCTTTCTGTCTCCCTGGTAAGTGCACACACCCTATAGCAAAAAATCTCTCTTAAGAAAAAGAAACAATTACAATCAGGAAATAATTGCTCATCAAAGAAGTAGAAATTTATTTTAATAATCAATTAAGTTCTTTCTTTTAGAGAGAGAGATTTTTGCTATAGGGCACATGCAGTCATGAGAGAGACAGAGAAACAGAAAGCAAGAAATCACTCCAAAGAGAGAAGGGCTATGCTACAATACCCTCTCCTCCATTCACCTCTCAGGATTTTAAGCAGACACACACATGCACCCACCAAGAGTTCTAAGCTACCAGGTCCGGGACTCTAAGCACAGTAGACTACACGGGAATCCAGCGACATAACCATCCTGCCATCTTCTGGTCCCAATAATCAATTAAGTTCTAAAGCACCAAGCAACTATTTCCCAAAGCTCTCCTTCAACTGAAAAATATCATCTGAAAAAACAAAAACAAAAAACTATTTGAAAGACCAGTTTGGTAAGAATAATAATAATAAAGTATAAAAGACTACACAAATAAGGAAAAAATATTATATCTTAAAGAAACAAATAAATAAGCTCATTACATTAAAATTAAAATTAAAGTAACAGTAGGAAAGAAAATAACCCACAAATATTTTTATATCAAAACAACCTGGGGCCGGCAGGTGGTCTGGTGGTTAAGGGTGCTGGACTCCCACATGGCCAACCACGGTTCAAGCCCTTGACCTGGTGGCTTGCTTTCTCGCTTTCCTTCTCTCTCTCTCTCTCTCTCTCTCTCTCTCTCTCTCGCTCTATCTCTCTCTGGTCAAATTGAAATAAATAAATAAAGCTAAATAAAATAATTCTTTAAAAAAAAAACAACCTAATCCAAAAAACAAACAGAAGCCAGCAGGTGGCATGATGATTAAGGCACTGGACTTTAACATAGCCCACCACAGACTGAGTCCTGGATCTGATGGCTTGCTTTCTCACTTTTCCTCTCTCTCTCTCTGTCTCCCTGTCTCTCTGTGTCTTTCTGTCTCTCTCTGGTGAAAACACATGCCCTGCAGCAGGTTAAATAATAACACTAAATAAATAATTCTTTAAAAAAAAACAAACAAACCTTAAGTACCTTACAGTGATGCCATTTCAGGCAAAAAAAAATTTTAGTATTTCTTTAACTCCATTTTACTGCAATTAAATTTCAGCTTATAAACAAAGTTTCAATGGTTATAATGAAGCTATCTCTATATCCTAATTAATATCTCATATGTTATTTAATTAAAAAATAATAGATGATTTTACAAGATTTTCAGCAAACTATAAATCTACGTAATAAAGATTTTTATCTTGTTGCTGCTGGTAGAGTGCTTTAGTGATGTGTATCAGGAATACTCAACGAAATGTTCTAGAATTTGTTTTGGGCAATGTCTCCATGATATTTTAATTATACTTGGGTTTCTTTTGTAGGAAAATCACTTCCAGACTGAATTAAATGACTACTGGCTGAAAGTCTACTATAAATACACCTAATTTCTTTGTTAAATGATAGATGAGAGAAAGACAGGAAGAATGAAGATACGGTAAGGCTGTAAGTCAACTAGTAGAGAAGTACAGAAGTACTAAAAGTGGCAGATGCAGTGCTTGGAGGCTCAAGAAAATAAATGGAGTTACTCACCAGAACAAGCTTGAACAGAGGGCAGGGGAAGATGAGCCCCCAAGATAAACATAAAACAAGAAGGGAACAAAAAGAGGCAGGGAGAAAAGACAGAGACACACTCTTGGAGTCCAGTGTTGATCAGAAATGTTAAAAAGGAATGGTATACCTTTTAACTAATGTCTTTTAACTGTGTGTCTTTCACAGAAAACAAGTCGTCAATAAGAAAGCATAAAGCAATATGTGTTCCAAATATCTGTCAGCTAGTTTTGAGTAAGAAATTCCCCAGGAATCAGTGTAAGAATAAAAAAAGCTTCCAATTCCCACAGGAATACCTTGTATTAAACAAGCATAAAGCAATTAAATCACATTGCAACTTCAAATATTAAAACATTTTTATATAGCAAAGCAATGCTTTTTATGCAATGTGGCAATAACTTTCTATTAGATATTCTCTTTCTCCCCATGTATAATCAATATCTTTCTGAAGTTACATAAATTATCGATTCTATTTCATATTAATATAAGAATAAAAGAACATATTAAAGTAGATTCAAAGTAGTCACTGTAAAATAAAAACTACAAGTCATAGTTTTATTTTGAGGAGAAATAACCTTCCTTTTATTGACTCTATATACTAATTCTCATCACAAATGTGGACTAATTATGGGATAAAGAAATCAGTCACAACTGTCTCCATATCAGCAGTGGATCTGGTATGATCTTTAGACCAGATCTGACCAGCAGAACCAAGTGTGGAAGTTATGAAATGGAAAAAAGGAAAGAAACTCATGTGCACTCTCTGGGAAAGGTCTTTTGGCTGAGGTATGGAAGGAAGCCTTTGCCACTTGGTGGTACTAAGGCTGGGGTGTAAGTGCACACCAGATCTAATAAGTAGATTAGATCTCCGGGCTCCAGCAGCCCTGGAGAACTGAATTAACAGGATAGATCTTGGCAAGAATGAAATGGCACTAGTCTTCTAAGAGTAGGATATAGTAGGGTCTTAGAAGTTTACATTAACAATTTCAAAGCTCTTTGTATTTTCTAAATATATTAAAGCACTTTGTTCTTCTTTGTAGTTCGGCAGGTTGCTTCTTAATGTATTGATAAATATCAGGCAGGACCAGTTGTGCTAAGCAGAACCACACTATGCATTTGGGCCACAAGTGAACTGGGGTTCTGGGGAAGAGCCAGTAATAGTAAAAGCAGCAGGACTCAAACAGCTTTTAAAGAAAGGCAAGTGTGAAGGTGAGAGGACAGACACATTTGAGGATCAAAGCACAACTGTCCATATATGTAAAGAAATCTCCTTCTGTAGTAAATACTTGTGTTCTTTTTCCCCAAAAGAATTTCCTAACAATTTTCACTTTTATTAGGTGGCAGACTCAAAGTGCTTCCAAGAAATACTAAGTAGAACTGCCTCAATTTCCACTCTACAGATTAATTCAATGATATTGACACAGTGGGGGGTCTAAAATAGAGATTTCTACACATACAGTTTAAATAACTTTTAAAGACTCACCTGTAGGCTTAACTGAATAAAACCCAATGGCCTCTCCTTTCTTCCACAGAATCTTAGCATAATCAGTACTGCTATGACACAGGAACGGGATCTCATTTCTCTCCATTTCCTGTTTTCTATAAATAATTCGATTCAGAACATACAGAACCACTCTCTCCCCAAGAGTGCTCACCTACAAAGAGAATCAAAGACCAGGCACAGTTATAAAATGCATCAGTCAGAAATGCTATGTACCTTGTTCTCTGCTCCCACACCTCCTACTGGCACTCACAGTATTCTGATTATATTCAACATGATTTGTAAAACATTTTATTATCACAGAGGTGACACTAATCGTTCATACCAATAATAATTCATTTCCACAGGCACATATTATGCATGGAATTTTGCCTATTCGCAAAATTCTGAAACAGGAGAAACAGGTTCCCAATGTCCCATTCCCCTGGTGTCTCTATCAGCACTGGGTATCTTCTTTCTGCTTCCAGCTGTCCAGATCCAGTCCAAGGTCTTCCCAACCCTAATTCCAGCCCCCACAATAAAAAAAAAAAATGTACAGCACTTCAGTGTCACTTTTTCACCCATTCGAGACTCCACATTGGAAAAAAAAAAAAAAGAAAAAGAAAAAAAACAGAAATAAAGAAAAGGAAAAGAAAAAGAAAAAAATAAACAGCTTAATGTTATTCCCTGAAGACTTTACGAACAATTATCTCATTTGATGAGGGAAGCCATAATTATGCTCTGGGGGAAAAATGTCTCATCTTTTCCAGGAAAAACGTTCATTTAACAGCCTTGCCTTTTCTGTCTAGCTATAAGGAATATCCCACTCCACCCTACCTCTACACATCCTTCCTCAAACCAGATAAAAGAGGACAGTGACATTAGGGGAGTCCAGTGGAAACATACTTGGGGCAATAACAGAATGGAAACAGAACCTCGCTTCCTACACAAGGACCCACCAACACACACAACTTTCTGACAGCAAATAGTGGGGTTTTCCCCCAATAGACATCTTTCACTGCTAAAAACAGAAGTTCTACATGTAAAGTCTCTTCCCTCCCAAGTCAGTCTGAAAGGAAACAAATTCTCCCTCTAATTAGTTGAGCAGAGAGAGAAAGGATTAACCGTATATACACACCACTCTCAAAAATAACCCGGCCAGGGAATCTCTCACACCAAAGAACACCAGAAAGACAAAGAGCCAGCTAGCACTAGCCTGCAAGGCAACTCTTCCTTCCTTATATAGCTCAGACCAACAGAATTCTTCATACTGAGCTGAATCTGCTTCCCAAAGACTACACTGTGAAATTCAGCAGCCACAAATATTTTAATATAACACATGTGACCCTAAATTAACAAAGGTAAACACTGGGCAACTGAAGAAAAAGGCTCATTTAATGCAATTTTGGGTACTTCTGCCATTCCAGTTGTCTCCTGTGAAACTGCTCCCCAACGCCTCTCACCAGGTTTGGTCCACGGACACTACAGAAATAAACAGTGAGGACACTGTCGAGACCACTGCACTTCTCTATATCAACTTAAGGATTTTTATTCCCTTTCTTCTCTCCTTGATTTTACTTCTAGTTAACTGAATCTCAACTCTTTTTTTCATATCTGTGGCTGTTTCAGTTTGGTTTTCATGGTGTACCTGTTCAGTTAAGAACTTTTATCAATCTAAAGATACTACATTTATGCCTATTTAGTTTTATCATGGTAGTTCCTTCTCTGCTTCATAATTTTTCCTTTCACAAAGAGTTCTCTATCCAGGGCTGTGACATACAGAATCAACAAGCATGCCACCTACGTTTTCCTCTAAGTAACTGATAAAATGTGATCAGGACAGAAGCAAGGATAAAGCTGGGTTATACTATTGACAACCTCCCAACGGTATACCTGAGCACTAGGCTTCAGGCCCAGGGTTATAACCTTTATTATTTCATTTATCTCTTATGAACCTTAATGTAAGAATGTTCATAAAAACAAATTCACTTGCTCAAAGTCATGTATTTATTAAATGGAAGAACTTAATAACTTTACCAACCAATTTTCGTTTATTACCTAAGATTTGATAAAATAGCTTATCCTGGAACCCTGCAGAAGGCGGATGCGTGCTCTCTCCAGAACCTGGCTGTTCCATTGTTTCAAAACCTGTATAAACCTCCCAAGGAGGTCCCACTAATAAATTGGTTTCCTGGTCAGTCTCTCCTAGACAGAGAAGCTAAGCAACCACATGAAGAGAACAAGCTTTTCTTCTACTGACTAAAAAAATCAGAACCTAAAGTGGATAAGGGTAGCTACCACTGTTCAACTCACTCATAAGTATTCATTCTACCTCACCCAATTCCTGGGTACTTTTACAATGGACCTTGAGAGCTTGTTTGGAGGTTCTAGCAGGGGAGTGCAACTATTCGTACACCCTTGATCAATGATCGGTCCTCCTCCATCGGGCATGGTTGTCCTCTTTGACTGAGCACACAGCTTCAGGAGGGCTGCACATGGAGCAGTGAGGGAGGAAGGAGATACCGCCTAGCCAGCAAGATCAACCCTGGCCATCAATGGAGTAACAGATATCGCAGCCAGATTGCCCTCACATCTTCCCGGATACTTTTGGAATCAGATAAAACTCAGGAGGCTCAAGCTGAGTGCTGGTTACATCATAAGAATGAAACTCTTTGGGTTTAATATAACTTGGTTATACTATGATGAAGAATAATTTAATAACTTCAAAAATTATTACTGTTTATAGGAAACACTGTGAAATGGCCTTATAAGAAACTTTCGAAATTACAGGATCTTGTTACCTGCTTAAGCCCATCTCTAGAAGGAAGAGACGTTTTCACAATATCATCAATAGCCCACCACTGATCAGCAAGGTAAAGTGCCACAGCTAAAATAAAGTAAATGACCATTAACATTTAAGTCTTAAAACATGCAGTATTATTATCTGGTATGTTTTATATAAAAAATATTAAATATACCCATATTTTGTATTTTATGATATAATATGTCCCATTTATATCATCTTTATTTCATCCATTAAACATTTAATTATAAGCAATTGAAAATTACATTCTCCCAAAATTATCATTTGAAATAAGTTTTTTTAAAAAACAAATCCCAAGACCTTCAGATGGCATAATGGTTATGTTGTTGGACTCCCAAATGGCCAAGCACAGTTCAAGTCCCAGACTCAGAGGCTTGAAACACACCAGGTGCATATGCATGCATGCCCAAAATCCCAAGAGGAGAATGGAGGAGAAGGGATTGCGGCATGACCATCCCCCCTGGGGGGTGATTTCTCACTTTCTTTCTCTATGTCTCTCTCTGTCTGTCTGGCGAGCGCACGCGCCTACAGTGAAAATCTCTCTCAAAAAAAGTGAAAAAATCCCTTCATACAGTTGTTTTCTTTCAATAACTTTTTTCTTTTTTTAAGAGAAAGATTTTTGCTATAGGGTATGTACACTTGCCAGAAAGAGAGAAAGTGAGAAAGCACCCCTAAGTGGGGGATGGCCATGATACAATCCCTTCTCCTCCATTCTCCTCTTGGGATTTTGGGCATACACGCTTATGCACCCAGTGTAAGTTTTCAGTTGCCACGTGCAGGACTCGAACCGGGGTCGACTACATGGGAGTCCAGTGACATAACCACTATGCTATCTGCTGGTCCCTTTCAATACTTTTTTAATGGTTTGTAGGAAAATTTCTCAATTTACAAAAATTAGCAAAACAAAACAAAAAGACAGACCAACCAACCTGTGAGTGAATCCTCGGGTGCAAAAAGAGCAAGAATTTTCTGGGTCTGATCTCCACCATAAAGAGGTACAAAGCCTACATTTGAAAGGCTAATAGGAATCTGAAATGACAATCAAGTAAATATTAGTAAAGAGTCTCTTAAAAAAATATGTGACAAAAACACCCATCTTTTGCCAAAGTACTGAACTTTTCCTAAGTTAAGTTTAATTGTATAACTTCATTTCATAGGAAGAAATATTTCTAGTCTTTAAAAAAAAAGTGTAAATCAGAGAAACTTCTCTTTTGGAAGTATTCTGTTGTCCTGGAAAATTTGAGAAAAAATGAAAATTTCTTTCCTTTTTTTTGTTTTTTAAAGAATTATAATTTAATTTAATTTATTATTATTATTATTATTTAATTTGACCAGAGAGAAAGAGGGAGAGCAAGTGAGAAAACAGTCAGGTCCCGGACCCAAATCACGGTCAGCCATGAAGGAGTCTGGTGCCTCGCCCACCACACCACCTGCTGTCCCCCCAAAATTTATTTCAATAATTATTATTTTATTCTAGCCACAGATCTGTATAAAAATGAAAGTCATAATCTAGCCCATAAAGTCATTTTAAAACAACCACAGTTATTTGTTATTTAGGCTGAGAGTGATCTATCCTGTTTTTTGTAAAAGATACCAGTTAGGTAAACTTATTTTTCCAGTAATGCACATGTAGCAACTTTAACATTTTTCTACTTTTTTCAATCCAATACTAATTCCTCATTTAGAAACAATACTACGGCTCAGAAAACTACTGGTGCTGGACAAGAGTTTGAAAAATCCTTTAAATCAACACCATTTCCAGGAGAATAACATGAGGCCTAGATAGGTTAAGGAACTTGCCCACTTGAGTTCACAGTCTAATGACTGTACTATCGCAACACATCATGGCTTACTAACTAGAAAATATGATTTCATTGATAACTGCTGGTCCCTTTGAACATCTGAGAAAAGGGAAGAAAGCATTCATGACACAGAAATGTGCAATTTAGTGTTTTGTCTTTTTTTTTAATTAAAAAAAGTCTAATCTCACAAACTCTAAATCTAAAGTAAATTTTATTTGGCTCAAATATGGTAAATGGTATTGGCAAAACTGGTGAATTCTTAGACATAATTTTAAACATATAAAGCCAAATATTAAATAGGCTACGAAATTTGTTTTTGTAATATTATCATGCTGCTCTACTAATTAATCAATATTTATCCTTTTCACTGAAGAGATTTCTGATAAAGATTTCAAAAGCAAATTCAAATAATTTTTTAATTGAAAGATACTGATTCCATGTATAAAATGGACTGAAACAACTTAATATAAATCACTGCATAACACCTTACCGTAATATTGAGAAGAGAAAAATACTCTGGATTTTCAGGATCCCCACACCTTAAATCTGACATGTAATCTTCAGCAGAATTTTCCAGTTCCTCATGACTGCAGTTATCTAGCATATCCACAGGGAATGCCATCCTCTTTAACAAACAACACAGAACAAAACATTTCAGAATATAAAGTGCCTTTTTCCTTTACTTACAGAAAAAATAAAAATGATCATAACATTGCTGTATTTTATTGTAATGAACCTTTTCTATTTCACCATGCCAAGACAGACTACAGGCATGTGAATTCAACCTCATAATGTCAAAAAGAAAACTTTCGGGGCTGACAGATGGCAAGGTGTCTAAAGGTGCTGGATTCCCACATGGTTGACCACGGTTCAAGTCCCAGACCTGACAGCTTGCTTTCTCCCCTCCCCTTTCTCTCTCTTTGATTAAATTTAAAAAATAATAATAATGATAACAAAAGGAATTATATAAATAAAAAATTCCTTTAAAAAAAGAAAACAAACACTACTCATTTAATGGATATTTCCTTAAATGATAAAAATATTTACACAGGTATATATGCATATAAACATACACATAAAAATATATATATGCACCCTCATATCCCCCTCAACACAAAAGCCACAGTAAAAGGACACAAAGGAATTTTTCAGACTGATGGAAATATTTTACAACTGGATTGCAGTGATGGATGTATAGTCCTATAAATTTACTAGAGAAAAATCATTGAATTGTACAGCTGCAATCTGTAAATACTGTGATACTGACATGGGGATGCCAGTGGTGCAGGGGTGATCAGACCCAGAACCCACAGCAGGACACAGGTTCTTGTCCACAGCTCACAAAGAATTACAGACCGGACACAGAAAGGGGACAGTACGCAGTTTATTAAGAGAGGGAAGTAAGAAAAGCGCTCTCAAGCAGAGAGTAGTCCTGAAAGAGTTGCCAAAGAGGAACTGAGGCAGGGGTTTTTATCTTGTTTAGAAGAGCTTTGTTCTGGCTCATTCTCAGGAGGGGTTTGTGCATGTGTTTCCTTCCTGGTGAGGGTTGCACGTTAGATGGATCTGGTTATTTTTCCTAATTTTGGCATGCGTAAGAAGGTCAGGAAACTCTCCTTGCCTAAAAAGCTTTGGGCCATACAAATCATTACCTTCTTCCTAGAATGTGGTGGAACCAGGAAAAAAGCCTTCGTTTTAGGTCAATTATTAAGTCACTGCTGCAAGCATTTTCTTGTGCAGTTACTGAGCTACTATGTCTCCATCTCAGAACTTAAAGGGGAGCTCTTGAATGAGTAGTCCTCCCTATGGCAAAAAACCTTAAGCTTTATAAGGCTTTTTTACAAGGAAGTACTGGTTAATGGTCACAGAGATGTTTCATTATTTATTGTAGTATAGATGCAATTTTGGTTCCGTGGCACCAGTAATTTTCTCTGGTACCATTCTCTGTGTATTTTGGGCTGTAAATTTTGGGTTATCTCATAGTTTCTATAGGGCCCCAGGTGGGTTTTCCATCAGACTTAGATATCAGAGTTAAGAAATCAACAGACCCTAGACTTTGACTCTAACTGCTCTTCTGTGGCTCCTGTGGGGAGGAGGTCTGTAATAGTTTGGCCTGGAAGGGCAAGGGTTAGGGAAGAGGGGGATATGCATTTTCAAAGAGCAGGACTCAGCCAGCTGGCTTTAAGTAATCCCCTTTTTGTCAGCATTCTATTATGGCTCCTCTAATGCCTAACTGCCTAGCCAGTCTCTGCCTCAATATGTAAATTACACTATACAGATATTTTTAAAGTTAGCACTTTAATGCAAAAACACTAAAGGCTTTCTCACTAAAGTTAAGAAAACACCTAATTGAAAAACCCAAAAGAAAGCACAGAAAAGCAATTTCAAACAATAACAAATATAGTACAATGGCAAGATAGAAAATTAATGTACAGAAGTAATCTTCATATATACAATAATAGTAAGGAAAAATAATGAAGGGGAAAAAATGAAGTCAAATGGAAAAGAAGACATCATTTACAAGAGCAAAAAATAAAATAGTCTTAAATGTAACAGTGAAAACAGTGTAAAACTCATGGGGGACTGTTCATCAGCAAGTCTTGAAGATGCCGCCCAAAGGAAAAAGTGCTTCTGGAAAAGGGGGGTAATGAGAGAGCAGGGTCTGGGAGTGACAGCACTAACAAGAAAGCTCACAGTCCCAAAGGTGGTGGCAATGCAATAAAGGTCAGACACATTCTATGTGAAAACACGGCAAAATTATGGAAACCACATCAAAGTTAAAGTCTGGCATTAGATTCAATGAAGTGGCCACATAATATAGCGAAGATAAAGCCAAGCAAGGGGGCGACTTGGTTTGGATGAGCAAAGGATCCACGGTGGGACCATTTCAAGAAGCAGCATTTGCCCTGCGGGTCAGTGGGATGGATAAGCCTGTGTTTACAGACCCACCAGTTAGGGCAAAATTTGGATACCATATTATCATGGTTGAGGAGAGAAAATAAAATTATATGAAAGACTGAAGAAGAAGAAAAAGAACAGAAGCCATGGGGGAAAACTATTCTAAGAGAAACAAAATGAGTAATAGCAAAATGACAAACTACGTTTTTGGAAAGGAAGTTTCATCATATAAAGGTGCCAGTGCTCCCTAAAATAATCTATTACTATAATGCAATCCTCATGAAAATATTTGTAAAGTTTTTTTTGTTTTTTTTTTTGTTTTGTTTTGTTTTGTTTTTTCCCCTGAAGCAAGACAAGGTTATTGTAAAGTTAACTGAAAGAAACAAGCAGGGACCAGCAGATGGCATAATGGTTACCTTGCGGGACGCCCACGGATTGGACTGCAGTTCAAGCCCCAAACCTGGTGGCTTTAAACTCACACTTCAACATGTGTGCATGCGTGCTCAAAATCCTGAGAGAATAGAGAAGAAGGGATTGCGGTGTGGCGATCCCCTCAGGGCGTGATTTCTTTCTGTTCCTCTCTGTCTTTCCATCCAGTGAATACACCCTATAGCAAAAACCTCTCTTCAAAAAAAAAAAAGGACACCGTGGTACAGGCACATGAATAGGCAAAGGAACCAAGATACAGAAGTTCATGTTAATGCCTATGGACATTGTGAGTATATGAGAAAGATTTCATATTGTATGGCTTCAACTAATCTGTCTCAGGCTTAGGAACAACATTAATGTCACTCATTTTTTAACTTCTTATATCTGAAATCATTATGTTCTCTGTTGTGTTGGCTCTTTTTACTCTACATTATTTCTACAATAAGCATGAATGCTGTTGCTCCTAGCAGTAGAATTCATTCCTATTTCTTAGTATGTGGTATCCCAGTGTATGCAAACAGTCTACTGGTAATGGACAGGTAAGCTATTTCCAATATTTGGCAATTATGAATAAACCTGCTGTGAGCAATCACCCTGGGGGGGGTGATTTCTCGCTTTCTGTCTCTATGTCTCTCTCTGTCTGTCGGGCGAGCGCACGCGCCCTATAGCGGAAATCTCTCCCAAAAAAAATAATAATAATTGAACACAAATCTAACCAAGTCATTAGAGAAATATGTTAAATTATGCCTTAATTATAGAGTCAAATTTGAAATAAATCAATTTCTCAACATATATATGGCATGCAATTTGGGGAAAAAAATGGAAAGTAATTCATATTAAAAAACTTAAGTGCCAGGGCCAGCAGTTGGCATGATAGTTAAGGCACTGGACTCCCACATGGTCAACCACGATTCAAGTCCTGAATTTGGAGATTTGCTTTCTCACCTTCCCTCTCTCACTCTCACTCTCTCTCTGGTAAAATAAAAATAAAATAAATAAAATTAAACAAATAATTCTTTTTAAAAAATTTAAAAACTTAAGCAGCATATCATTCAAATGCATTGTGGAGAGGATCCTGATTTGTATACTCTTGAAAACTTCCACAATAAAAGTTAAATAAAAAATAAACTGATGGGCCAGCTCATGACATGGTGGTTAAAGTGTCAGGGTCCCACATGGCCCACCACATAGTTTCAAGTCTTGGACCCAGAGGCTTGAGAAACATACCAGGCATGTGTTTATGTGTGCCCAAAATACCAAAAGGAGGAAGAGATGAAGGAGAAATTACTGCAGTGTGAGCATTCCCCACGGGCATGACTTTTCACTTTCCCTTTCTCTCTCTTCTCGGTCTCTCTCTCTCTCTAGCAAATGCATGTGCCCATTGGCAAAATTAGAAACAAAAAATTTATGATTTATAAATATTGAGCTATTAGTTCCTAAAGGGGGACAAATACATTTAATATGGATTATCTTGTTTCAAAAGTTGCCTATTTCATATTTACCCCAAATAAAACCCACAAAGCTCACCTGCAACTGTTTTTGTCAATAATCTGTTCAAATTTGATTTTAAAAAATTATAAAGAGAAAGGCAGGAGAAAATCAACTGATCGACTAAAAGTTACTTTCCTCTCGAAATGACTTTCAAACACATTTTATCACGACAAAAGTATTTTAAGGCAAGGAACTGCAGCACCTAATGGAAATGTGAAGCAAACATATAAAAGATAGCAGCTATATACAATAAGTTATATATTTTAATAGTTGAATATATTTTTCTAAATTTTGAAAATAAGATGATGATGAGAGGGACTACTTTTTACCATAATCTGAAATTTTGGTCCTAAGAACTTTAATGTATGTAAGGTTGGGAACATAATTTTTAAATATGTATATGTTTAATCAAATTGTATTTCTAATCCAAACTGAGAAATGGAACACACAAGACTCAGTCCAGCTATGAGTAAGTAGAAATGTCTAAGTAAAAAAGAGCAAGAAAATTTTATGAAACTTTTTGAAAGCAATATCAGAGGATTTCCAGCCAAATTTTATAGAGAAGTGGGGGGAACCCTATAAATTTAAGGATGAAAGAAGTAGAAATTACTATAGATCAGCAACAGCAATAGGTAACATTTATTGAGAAGCGTCCATCTACCAGGCCTTAAAGAGACTGTCATATTTAATATCTAGCAAGGTACTTCCATCAGCCTCATTTCACAGAAGACACAGCTTTAGAGTTTAAGAGCCTTCCATACCATCACACCACTATTGGGGCTAGAAGAATATGAACCCTGGCAATCA